CATGCACACATATGCTTTAATGTCTGCGTAAGAAGGCGAGCACATTCTACAATAGATCTTAATTGAGAAGACGGACTGCAATCAGTACGTTCTTGTAGGAAATCATTAAATCATTTCTTCCTCCCCTCTCCTTTTCTTTTTCGCCTTCTTATGGTGATTAGCATGGTGATGATAGCATCCTGATTATGTCCATCAGAAAAATCTGACATCTGTGTTCTCTCCAGTTCTATTACTGAGGAAATTAAAAGTGAGACGAAAAGAAAAAAACCTTGCAAAGTCCCCTAATTACTGTAGTGCATTTAAATGCAGTGTTCTTATTAAAAGTATTAGAGTTGGGGTGCATGTTATACTTGAGTGTTGCTCCTGGTGAATTCAGTTTTTCAAATTCCTGTAAAAGCATGTAGATGTTTTGTAAATACATGTTTGTGCACAGAAAAAATGATGATCGTGGTTTTAATTTAGCTTAGCAAAATTATTTGACACACAAAGTACTCTTTTGGGTGTTTTTCCCCCCAATTTTTTTTTTCTTTCACCATTTCTCATATAAGATTGTGGACTTAGCCTTGTGTGTTGGCAGAAATATTCTTTTGATTTGTCAGATAGAGGGTTTTTATTGAAATAAAATCAAATGAAGAATCTTCTGAATCGGTTTTGATCTGAAAATAGGACCTGCATTCTTCAGTAAAAGCTCTTGACTTTCCAGACATAAAGAAGCCCTACTGGAGCAACCTTGACTCTTAGGACTTTAAATTTCCGAAATGAAAAGGAAAAATACAAAAAAATAAAAAATAAATATAGGATGTAAGCTGTGTATTGTAGAAGCTCTGAAAGGAGTGCGGGAGTGAAAAGAGTGCAGGAAGAGACAGGAATGTTAATGGCACTTTTATTTTATTCAAAGCCAGCGGCTATCATTCACCAGAAGCTTCAGTGAGCCTTCACATCTCCTTTTTTTCTCCTTTTGCATGTTTTAGTTTTTAAGGTGTTGATCTGTGTCAAGAAATCAATAATTAATGGACATTATGTTCTGTGAAGTTTGTATGTTCGTGTAGCTGCATGATGGGTTAATTGGCGATGCGGAGGTGTGGACGTGAGCTCGCTTTCTTTGTTAGCGCTGTGAGAGAATGGTGACCTGTTCTGAGTGTATCCCATCTCTCGCCCTAAGACGCAACTTGTTAGAAATCCACTGCTGTGTTATAGCATATCCACAATCACTAATAGAGTCACACTTACAAATTAAACATTCAAAAATCAGCATGTTATAATAATGTTACCTCCTTAATGTTTTCCCATTTGTGACATTAGGAGATGGCCAAGATTTTGAATCATCCACGCGTCTATGCCTTCCTCCACGTTCCGGTGCAGTCAGCCTCTGATAGCGTACTGATGGATATGAAGAGAGAATATTGCATTGACGACTTCAAACGAGTGGTAGACTTCCTTAAAGAAAGGTAAGGCAGTATATGGACTCCCAGTTGACTGATTATGTCTATGAGTGCAAATGCATATATAAGCATGTGACTACAACTACAAACTCGGGACATATTATAACTTTCACCTTCATAGGGATACACACACTGTCCTCCTCACTTGTTATTCATTATATACTTGAACAGGAACTGTGTGTCGTAAGTCAGCGGTCCCTGGGCCATGGACCAGTACCAGGGTGGGAGACTTGAGGCTCGGGTGTGAAATTCATGGTTTTCAGGGGTTTTAGCGTTAATTTTTTTCATCGTTTTTATCATTGACTCGGTTTCCCTGGGTCTTTTTCTGTGTGTTATGAATAAATCTCCATTTTATTTTGCGTACCGGTACTGGTTTTATTAAGTTGTATTCATCCGTGTCACCTTAAAGGCCGGTCCGTGAAAGTATTGTTGGACATAAACCGGTCTGTGGTGCAAAAACGGTTGGGGACCGCTGTCGTAAGTTATCAGAACAGCTCATAGGTGTTGGGAGAACATCTTTCTTTTTGGCTAGCAATGCTGTTTTATACTCTCTTTCTACACTTCCTTCCCTATACTTCCTTTAAGGTATAGATACAATTTAAAATGGATCATTGCTTTTTAGCTGAGAGTTGATGAACTGTTTTTGGTTATGCAAACTGTTGCCTGCCCATCTTTGTGCTCAGATTCCTTATATTGCCTTAATTATCCAGGATGCTACTGAAATATTTAAGGCACATTTTCCAAGCAGTACCGCATCACTGTAGTGTCTCTTAGGTTTGGATCATTTGCTTCATAGACCTAGATGTGCTATTATCTCTCTTTGACATCACCACTGGCCAATGACATCTCTGCCAGGCAACAGAGAACGTTATCCCTCCTCTATAATTCAGTAGTATTGTGGAGGATGGATAACAACAACCAGTATAAAGTAACACGTACACGTTGACTTATACTACAAATTTATTGAGCAGGCCCTAGTTGTTTAACATAAGTGGATGGATATCTGCTGAACAGCTATAACACCATTAAGTTAAACACTAATAAAACACCATTAATACTTGGATCTTTACTCATTTACCTTAGACCTGGTGTTCCACTATATGGTCCATTTATGTATGTTTTTAATGTATTGTTCTAATATGTAAAATATCTCTCCTGTCTGTTTGGCACTCTTCACTTGCTGTTCCCACACAGCAGTTTAGCACAGCAGTGGGGGTTTAAAAAAAAAAGGAGAGAGAACGTAGTATAAAGCGTTTCTGAAAATGCGGGCAGAAATCCAGGCGTGAACCTGTATACACGGACACACCCCAGTGTGCATGTCAGCCTCCAACAGTGTACTGATGCCATTAATAGATGTAATTATTGTTGCTATGGCTCATAAATGTGAGCCTTTTACAAACCATACTTTTCTTTTAGCTGCTGAAATATGTATATATTTGAATAGCAGCATTGATCCGTTCTTTTCTTCATCTCCTTTTTCTTTACTGTACGACTCTTTCTGTAAGCTCTCATTTGAAACGACATCGCTTTACAAGGTTACGCATTTCCAACTCAGAATTTACTGACTGCAGCACCATTTGAATGGTTGAGACCAGATTCCTTGCACTAAAGCAAATGTTCCTTTAGCAAATACACAGTGTGACCTCCTCACACAGATTTCAAGAGAAATGTGTACATCTCTGACATGGATTAAATATAACCACATAATGCACAGATGCGACCTCTGACATTGCCAGAAAGATGCAAAATTAATCTTTCAATATATGGAAGATAATCTGTCATAGAGTTTGAGCATCAGCACTGATGGCAGCGCATGTCAGAGGGGTGAATAAACATAAAACTGATGCTATGATAATATATAATGAAGGGATTCATGGGAAAATCAGTGTGTATTCTAGATATGTCCTAAAATGCTTGCTATTACTGTGAGATTTACCAAAAAAGAACATCTTTTTAATATGCTGGCATGTTATTGCTCTTACCACATCATAACCTACATTTTTGGACATCTGGACGTAGTGTTTTTGTGGGAGAAATGTTTCGTCACTCATCCAAGTGACTTCTTCAGTCTCAGCTGACTGCAGGTTTCCCCAAATCTTATAAACAGTACATTTGCATAATGACTGAAACCAGCC